TAAAATTTGATTTGATTTTTTTATGGGGAAAAAATAATTGAACCGTTTTTATGTAAATTTTCCGGTTTAGATCGTCCGTTAATTTTTTCCCGTCGAAATCGAAATAATAATAATAATAATAATGATAATAATAATAATAATAATTTTTTTTTTGTTTTACCGCGTCTCGAATATATTTTTATTTGCAGGGAAAATATATCGAATTTCAATGTTTTCTCACAGAGTAAGAAAAAACGTCAGAATCGTTTTCAATTTTAAATTTCCCGCCAAAAACGAAAATGAAAAAATGTCTGACCGTTTGAAAAATTATTAATTTTTATTTTATAATTATTTTTAAAAAATTCGGGGGGGATGGGGATAGGGAGGAAGGTTTCGATCGATCGCCTTGATGAATATCTTTCGGAAAAAAAAAAAAAATTGACGGTTTTAATGTCGTGTCACTAGTAACAAGGTTCGAACGGACGGGGGAGGGGGGAAATAAGTTTACCTTTGGGTTTTATATCAATGTTAAATATTGTAATTTCACAAAAGTTATTAATTCACAATAAAAATTTTTTTTTTAATTTAATTTTTTCGATCGTGGCATCAGAATAAATAAAATAAGTTGGGAATCCTTTTTTTTTTTTTTTTTTGTTTCCTTGAAATAATATTCTCGAATATTTATTTTTTTTATTATTATTTGTGAACCCTTTGATTCACCGTTTTCCTTTGTCCGGAGACACGTAATTTTATTATTATTATTATTATTATTATTATTATTATTATTATTTGGGTCAAAGTTAGTGTTTGCCCTTTTTGACCATTGCCAATGATTTGTCGTCATCGGGTAATAAAAGTTATTATTATTATTAAATCACCGCCGAATGTTTTAATACACGTTTGAAATTTTTTTTTTTTTGCTAACTGATTTTTATGTCGCATCATTCAATCAATTAATCGATAAATCGATAGATCGATCGATCGATTCGCGTCGGTCATTAAAATGTAAAAAAAAAAAATTTTTATGTACATTTTCACAAAGTTCTCGTTTTAAATTTGACCTTTTTGTATTTTTTTTTTTTTTATTAAAATTTTCGGAGATGCTTTTATTTTAACGAAAATGATGATGATGATGATAATGATAATGATAATGATATTTTATTAAATGCGACCTTCGAATTTTTTATGTATTGAATTTTTTTTTTTTTTTTTTTACCTTTAATAACTTTTTGCATTTTTGTTGTTGTTGTTGTTGTTAAATTAACATAAATAGATTCATATAAAGCTGTTGAGCTTGAAGTGTCACGTACGTACGTTAGGGTCTAAAATAGTATGATGATGATGATGATGATGATGATGATGATGGTGATGGTGATGGTGATGGTGATGGTGGTGGTGGTGGTGGCAAAAAAATTTTTTTTTTTTCTGATGTTAGGCGGACCGTGCTTTCAACCATTGATGTTCACCTTGGAATAACTTGACCTATTAAAGGCCAAGGTTCATCATTTCTCAGATTCTTATCGAATTCACTAAATATTATTATTATTATTTTGTTCATAAATGGTAACCATGTTTGTTTTCGATATAATATTTAATAAGAATTTCAAATGCGAAAAAATTTTGTGTGAATCTCTCTCTCTCTCTCTCTCTCTTGAGAACGACGACGACGGTGATGATGATGATGATGGGAGTGATGCCGATGATGATGATGACGATGATGAGGGGGGTGATGATGATGACGATGGTGATGACGGGGGTGATGATGACGATAGTGATGGAGGTGATGATGATGACGATGGTGATGGGGGTGATGATGATGATGATGATGGGGGTGATGATGATGACGATGATGATAAGGATGATGATGACGATAAAGATGATGATGACGATGATGATGGGGGTGATGATGATGATGATGATGAAAAATGAAAGGAAGCAAATGATAATAATACTAAAGAAACTTAATCAATAAAAAAAAAAAACCTAAAAATTTGACCTTTGATTTATTAACAAATTTTATCGTGTGACAAATCGTAAAGTAGGAAAAAAAAAAAAACAGGATTTGACCTACCTGAAGATTAAAAAAAAAAAAAAATCCCACGGGAGAAAAGAAGTCGGGTTCGATCTCGAAACAAATGTCAATTCAATATTTATTTATTTTATGTATAGTTACAAAAATCCGTATGTAAAATTTATATGTGAAAAAAAAAAAAACGAATTTTTTAAGAAACCGCAACCCGAAACGACAATTATTGTGTAATAATCTACTGACACGACGTTATTATCACAGTCATTAATAAAAACGTTGTGTAAATTTTAAAGAAGATTCGACATTAAAAAAAAAAAAAAAAACCGGGACATTAAAAAAAAAGTTTTTTTTCTTTCTTTTTTTCTCCGATATTTATGCTAATATATATAAAACAAAATTAATTATTATTATCATCATCGTCGTCGTCGTCGTAATCATTATTATTATTAATATTATAATGGACAGACCATAATTTTAATTTTAATTTTTTTCTTCTTCGATATTCGAATGAAAAATAAACATAATTTTAGATATGAGAGAGAGAAATGTGCCTGCCTCGAAGTAAAAATTCAACTTTGTTGCAAATCATAACGCCCTTTTTTTTTTTTTTTAAATGTTCTATTTCGTAATTCTTACGACTTTTTTTAGTTTTAATGTGTGTGCGTGCGTGTGCGTGTGTGTGTGCGTGTCCGTCGTGTGAATGTTTTTGATGACTCTTTGCCCTCTACCAGGTTAGCTACCGCATTTTTCTTTCTTTCTTTCACGTATCATTAAACTTCATATGTGAATTAATAAATAGACTGTCAATTTAGATTTCAAATCAATTGTAATAAAAGAGAGAGAGAGAGACGGGAGGGAGAGAGAGAGAAACAAAATTCAAAGTTTAATTATAAAAAAAAAACACGTCGTGCACGTTCGAAGCGTGGGAGTAAAAAAAAAAAAAAAAATAAAAAAACATCCTTAGTTAATATTAAATGTCGTGGCAATAGAAAATTTCAACTTGAGTAAATATCAATAGAGAGAGAGAGAGAGAGAGAGAGAGAGAGATAGAAAACAAGTTTATTAATTTCATTACGATAATTTATAATAATTTAAAATTAGCGTTTTATTTCATTTTCTTTTTTTCTTATTTATTGTTTTTTGTTAAATGCAAAAAAACGGAGGGGAGGGGGGAGGGGGGAGGTTTTTCTACTGCTTGAATTAGTCGGGATAAGAATAACAACAAACGAACAAATAAAATTTTATCCCGTATAAAAAAAAAAAAATCCATCGGGATATGGAAATCCAAGTTTTTTTTTTTTTTTTTTTTTTTTATAAAAGACAAGTTTGATTAATTATTATTATTCTTATTATTATCATTATCCTTCATTCCCGGAAAAGTTTATTATAGTATTAGAATGGTAATAATAAAAGAATTTCGTTTTTTTTTTTTTTGTTATTTGTTGAATGTAACATTTTTCATTTGATACTTTTTCTTTTCTTTTTTTATTTTTTTTTCAAAGAAATATTACGTAATTCGAATCATCATTATTATACTTTTCTTTTGTGTGTGCGTGTGTGCGCGCGCGTGTGAGTGTGTGCGTGTGTCCCCGCGCGTGTGAGTGTGTGCGTGTGTGTGTGTGTGTGTTGTGCGTGCGAGTATACAATCAATTTTATTATTAACTAATAAAAGTTGTTTGATTTTTTTTTTTCGTTACATAAATTTTAAAAAAAAACGTTTAATTAATTATTAAAAGTTTTTGGTAATAAAAAAAAAAAAAAAAAAAAAAAAAATCATTTAATTTTGATGAATTCGTCATTTCCGGTTATTATACAAAAAATTTGAATTTTCTATATTTACTTATTTATTTATTTAATTTTTTTTCTTGTATATAAACGTTTAGAGAAAAATTCGACCGGATATTTACTTTTTTTTAAAAATGTGTTTTTTTAAATTGAACACGTCTCGTTCGTAATTCAACGTAAGAGAAATAATAAAAATAAAATGGCGGGCAAAATGGCGGGTAATTTTCTTTGTTTACATTTGCGAATCCATATAAATTAAGTTGGTAAAACTGTTTCGGACGATTTCATTTGAATGTTAAACCGTCGTTGCCAACTCAAACCCTTTCTTTTTTGTTCAATGAGTAATGTAAAACATTATTTTATTTTATTTTATTTTACTTTATTTTTTAATTAGATTAATAGTTATTAATCATCATTATTATTATTAATATTATTACTTCTGCTATTATTTTTATTTAACTTATTAAAATTAAAAAAAAAAAAAGAATTAAAAATTTTTTTTATTATTTTATAATTGTCGTTATTATTATGTCTCGTAAATTAAACATTTCATTTTTTTTAAAAATATTTATTATATGCGTATCTGCGATTTTTTTTTACTTAGAAACTATGGAAAAAGAAATTTATGAAAATAATGTCAAACAAAAAACGGATATTAATAATAATAATAATAATGATTTGGTAATTGATAATAATAATAATGATTTGGTAATTGATAATAATAATAATAATGATTTGGTAATTGATAATAATTATAATAATAAAAATGAAATAAGGTAATTTGTACTTTTTTTGTTTTTTTATCAATGAGTATTAAAACATCTGTGTTAGTTTTCTTTGTTTTAATTAAATTTAATAAATTAGTAAGGAATCCATTGTTCCTGATGATGATGATGATGATGAAGAAAATTTGAAAAATGATTTTAACAATATGTACGGTGACAACATTAAACTTATTTATAAAAATAGTATTTACGGTGATGATGATGATGATGAGAAAGATGATATTAATAATAATAATAATTACAGTAATAGAAACAAAGGAAATTTAAATAGTTTAATCGAAAATTACATTCAACGTTATGTAAATTTATTTCTCAAAACATGCGAATTACAAGTAAGTTTATATTTTTTCTTTTATCTAAATATATATATATGTAAATATAGTTAAAAGTTTTATAATGATAATGATAATAATTGATTGTTAATGATAAATTTCAATTTGCAGGATTACAATGTTGAAAAGGATGGGAATGGTGACATGATTCAAACAGTTTTAGAAGTTAAGATAAGTCCTCATGATCTTGCTTTTCTACAAAATTATTCACAAACGAAAGGGAAATCAACACAAAGAAATTTATTCAAATTGGAATCGATATTGGTTAAAATGTTGAAATTGAAAAAGGATAAAAGTTTGCCTAAATATTCATCGTATATTGAAAATATAATTAATTACATGATAAATTTTTTAAAAGATGATTCAAATCACAATCATCATTATTTAACATTTTTAATTACATATATTATTTTATTTCGTAAAAAATTATTCAGTTGGTTTTCGATAATATTTATTATTAACGTTTTAATACTCAATGAAAGTTATTTAACTTGCAATAGAAAAATTAGAGTAATTATTAAGTTTACATTGTGGAAAATGTGAAATAATTTTACCTTGTTTACCTTGTGTAGTTTTCATAATATTTATCATTATCATTTTTAGGAAGCAGAATTGGAATTATTATTTAAAACAACACAAAATGCTGGTAAATCAAATCCATGTGATCCATCGAGTAGACAATGGTATGACAGTGTTTTGTCTTTGGTATACACAAACAATGATTGTTTAAATTATCATAAGGAAATGACGAGGAATCCGAGAGAAGAAATAACATTACTTCAGTGCATATATGATACATATGCTATGTACACAATTATAAAACCTTTTAAATTCTTTGGAATGGCATTGTCTGGACTCAGCGATGAATTTATAGGTTGGCACTCGTGTTAATTATTCAATACATTCAATATCGTGGGCATCATTTATATGATTTTTTATGTATTTACAGGTAAATTTGGATGGTTCACAAAAGAATTAATTGGAATCCCTGTACTTTTATTCGTTTTCATAACATTCTGTTATTTCATTTTGGAATTTATTAAATTTTTAATAAGTCACAGTGCTTTTAGAAAAAGCGAAGATCATAAACATTCGATTGAATTTGATTTGAAAAAATTGCAAGTATTTTTTATATGACATCATTGTAAATTTTTCTGTTATCGAGTTTGTGTTTTAATTAATTGCCTGTTGTATTATTCGGTTAGGAAAATTTTAGAAGAATCGTCGAAAAATGGAAAAGGGGGGGCAGCAGTCGAAGGACAAAGGAAAAAGGAGAAAGAGAAGAAGAAGGAGAAAGAGGAGGAGAAGGAGAAAGAAAGAAAGAAAGGTTTTTATTTGTGATACTAATAATAATAGTTTATATGGGGAAACGATAAGATTAATTTTTTTTTTTTTTTTTTTTTCTTTTTTACAGTCGCGAAAGTTTTCGTCCATCAACGTTAAAATAATCATAATTTTTTTTTTGTTGTTGTTGTTTTATAAAAAAAAAATTAAAAATAAAACGTTTGTAAATTTTTATTTATTTATTTATTTTTAAAATTTTGATTGATGTCGTTGCAGTTAAATGAAAATCGTTGGTAGTTATTAGACAAAACGAAATTTTCCGAGAAAAAAAAGGAAAAAAACAAAATGGCGGGCTCAAGTGGAATGCAAGCGAGCGAGCGAGCGAGCAAACAAACAAACAAACAAGTAAATTAATAAATTATTTTAATCGTAAATAATATTTATATAAAAGCAACCGGAAAATATATGTATAAATGCCGGGGGAGGGGGGAAATGAAGGAGGAGGAGGAGGAGGACGGGTGGGGGAGAGGATTAGAATTAAATAAGAAAAAACGTTTTGAATCAAAGTCTGTTGCATAAACAAACGGATTCTTTACCCGTATTATTATCATTATCATTATCGTTTTGCATCCCAGAGTATTGATCCGGAGTTTTTCACAATCGCCGCCGCTACCGCCACTCCTACCACCACCACCACCACCGCATCCCTTATACGACGTCACAATCCTCCCTTCCAATGTTTTCATTCCCTTTTCTTTCCTTTGACTTTATTATCCCTTGACGTCCCGCTTTCTCGCCCGCACCGCCTCCGCATTATTACCTCCAAGTATATTTGGACTTTTATTTCTCCCCTTCATTCAGTTTTTCGGTTGCATACATCTATATATCTACATTTAATCAAAGTAAGGTTTTTCACAAACCGGGACACTAAGTTTTTTATTTTTATTTATTTTTTTTTTTTTTTTGGTGAGAGAAAAAGCAGAAGACAAAATCACACATCATTCGTAATTTTTTTTTACCCGTTTTGTGTTTTGTGCGTGTGTGCGTTTTTTAGTTAAAAAAAAAATAATAATAATAATGAAGAAAATAATAAGACAAGGGGTAAAAATTATTTATTTATTTTATTTAATTTAATTAATCGAATAATATTAATTTACACGCATTTTACGCAGTTTTAAAAGTGCGTGCGCGTAAATAAAAAATAAAAAAAAATTTTTTTTTTGTCGATTTCGTTGAATTTTCAGGGCGGTATTTGTGAAAAGGATACGTTTGTGCGTGTAACAAACATATTTTTTTATTTTTTTAAATGTAATATTAAGGTGTACGCACGCACGCACACACGCACCTTAAACGCACAAGTGGTATTATTATTATTATTTTTTTTTTTTTTTTTGATTATAAATTAATTAAACGTTATCGTTTTTATATTCTCGAAACGTAATCGTTTCTTAATATTATTATCATCATCATTATTATTATTATTATTATCATTTTTTAACTTGCTTTTAAATATAATTTTAGCATAAAAACAAGTAATAATGATAATAATAATAATAATATTTTTTAAACTAAATTAAAAATTTTTTTCGTTTAACTAATTTAATTTCATCAATTAAATTAAACTAATAATAATAATGATGATGATGATGATGATGATACGATTATGGTTTTTTGTTGGTAACGTTAATAAGAAATTTTTTTTTAAAAATGATAATAATGATTAGGTATAATAATAATAATAATAATAATAATAGTAGGAGTAATAAGTTGATTGATAAGTGTGTGTGTGTGTTTTATATAAACGATTAATTAGAGGTTGTTAATTATATATCATTATTATTATTATTATTATCATTATTATTATTATTAATTAGCATAATTAAAAAGTGTAAAATTATAGAAATTGTGTGTGTGATCGACCGCGAAGCAACGTTTGTATAAAATTGAATGAATCACGTTTTTTTTTCAATTAATTAATTAATTATTAATTAATTAAACGTTAATTTGACGTTTTTATTTTTTAATAAGAAAAAAGGGGGGCACAATTTAAATTTCGTTGATGTACCTGGGGGGGGGGTGTGCGTAAGAGGTCAAAAAGTCGTCGATTGTTTGATTACCGTTTATTAAAATTTTATTTATTTTTTAATTTTAAAATGAGTAAAGAAACTAAAGGGAAATTTCGTTTGTCACACGCACGCACACACACACACACACAGGTGGTGGTGATGATAATGATGATGATGAGGTTAATGTGATTGGATTTGATTCATTCATCATCATCATCATCAATGAATGCCTTTTTTTTTTTTTTGTATGATTTTCATTCAGTTTACATTCTTAATTTTCATTCATCATCATCATCATCATCATTATCATCATGGGTTGTTAAAAGGGTTCGTGATGAGAATTTAAAAAAAAATTATTGCCATTATTTTTTACATCATTCGGTAAAGAGAGTAAGGCGGGGGCGTAAGGGTCAATAATGACGATAATAATAATAATAATAATTTGTGACGACATCACTTCACAAAAAAAAAAAAAATTATTAAATAAATGGCGTTTGATATTAATTTCCACAGAGAGATAGTGAGAGAGAGAGAGAGAGAGAGAGAGAGAGAGAGAAAGGTTCACACACAAAATTTGAATGAATAATTAAATTAAAAAAGGTCGACATGAATATTTATTTGAAATTTAAAAAAAAAAAAAAAAATCACGAGGGAGCATCAGGAGACTATAATATAAATAATAATAATAATAATGATTATAATATCGTATACAGGAGCTTGATGTAAATTATAGGGAGAAAAAAAAAGAGGGAGAGAGAGAGAGAAAGAATTTGTCATACTGCGACATATTAATATTAATATCATCATCATCATCATCATCGTTGTTGTTGTTGTTTTGAAAATATTTTTTGCTGTTGTTTTTAAGAATCAAAATTTTTTGCTGTCGTTTAAATTATTATTATTATTATTATTATTCAAAATAAACAAGGGTTAAATTTTATTAATATAAATATATTTATATAAGTGGTGAAAATGAAGGACGAATGTTTGAAATGTGTTGAAATATCTTCTGCTTTTTCCTGCCTGTTGCTCGTTTTTATGTTTTTTTTTTGTCGGGAGGAGAGGAAGTGAGGAGGGGTAGGGTGTGCGTGTGAAGTCCGACGGAAGGGGGGTGGTTTTAAATATTTTTCAATCAAAAATTATTTAATTTACCTCGGGGATAAAAAAAAAAAAAGTCGGTTCGCCGCATAATTGGTTATCACGAAATGAATGATATCAGTCAAGGTCATTTGTAGGCGTGCCAACGTTAACGATATTCATGAAAAATGTTTTTTTTTTTTTTTCACCCGCGTAAATTTTCATTTAATGATTTTAAATTATCCCGAAAACTCAGCATCCCATAAAGATTTCAATGTTTTCGTGGAGGGGAGGGGGGAGGAGTCAGGGAAAAGGTTAGGGATGAAAAGGGCGGGGTTAGATATGTTAGGCACACGAATGATAGCAAAAAAAAAAAAAATTCATTAAAATTCATTGATTGCCGCGGTGTTATTTATTGGCCAAGGCCCCCCTTTTTTATTAAAAAAAAAAAAAACATTTTCGACGAATTGATTTTTTTTTGGGGGGCGGGGGAGGAGCTAACAAAAAAAAAAAAAACTTTAAATTTTGTCATTTGTCATTTGTTCTTTTTCCCAAATTTTTAATAAATTTTACGAAATTTTATAAATGTGGGGAGGGGGGTGGAGAGAAAGAAGAAAAAAAAATATTAATAATAATAATAATTTTTCCGTTTGTTTGAACATTCCCAGATTTTTCCATCCATTTTCATCCTCCCACACGCGAAAAAGATGAAAATCTACGCATGCGTAATAATAATATTCAATGCATCATATATTACATGGAATAAGAAAGGAAGAAAGGAAGAAAAATTTCCCCTCTCTACCCCCTCCCTTCCGTACCCCCTCCCTCCCCCGGATTACATAAAACGGTTATTTTCCTTTGCATCGTGGCTTTACCGCATTTTCACTTGCAGATTTTTTTTTGTTTTTGGTCTTACGCGCATGCGTATATAATGCGTAATGAAAAAAAAAAAAGAAAATCCTTTCCTTTAATTTAACCGATACCTTTTTCAATTTTCTCGCCATTTTTCACGTATCATCATCATCATCATTATCATTATGAGTTTTTTTTTTTTTTTTTTAAATAAGATAAAACGACGTAATATAAATTGATGGGAAAGAATGAATGAATGAATGAATACTATCGATTCTTTTATTATTATTATTATTATTATTATTATTATTGTCATTATCGCCGTCTTTATTACGATATTATTAATAAAATTTACTTTTAAAAAAAAAACTGTTAAGGGTGTTCGAGATGTAGAAAATTGTTTGTTTGTTTGTTTTTGCGGTCGTGACGTCATTCGAGATATCGAATTTTTTATATATTAGTAAATAAAGATACGAAAGAAATAATTTTTGTCGTGGTTGTAGTTGTTGCCTTTTTCCCCACGCACACGCGTTTTTCCCGTTGAATTTATAAAAATGATAATAATAATAATGATAAAATTTTGTTTGTTTTTTTTTTTCAGTTTGAAATGATCGTCTGCTAGTTCGTGCGTCGAGTGATAAGAAACAAAAAAAAAACTTTAACGAAAAAAAATTTTTTTTTTTCCCCCTGGTAATTATGCGTCGTTTGTCGCGTAAAGGAAAAAAGAAAAGGATGATGACGTCGACGACGATGTTTTATTGAGAGAGAGAGAGAGAGAGAGAGGTAGAAAACAAGACGACCGTTATATTTTTAAGGAGAACACGTCAGAGAAGAAAAACAAGAACAAAAAATTTGTCAAATTTTTCGATATTATGGATGCGAGGAATCGCATTAAAATATCGGTAAGTGTATTATTATTATTATTATCATTATTATTATCGTTATCGTTATCATTATACACGCAACGTTTTTTTTTTCCCTTTCAGTTTTTTTTCTTTTTTCTTTATTAAATTCCGAGAAAAATGTTTAGATATAATAATAATAATAATAATAACGCTGGAGAAAATTTATATTTTTTCCATTTTTCCAAAAACTTTTTCTTTTTTTTTTTTATTTCATGCGATCGTTAATAAATAATTTCAAATTTTTTTGTTTCGTTTTTTAAAATTTCAAGGTTGCCAACAGTTAAAAAAAAAAAAAAATTCCCTCTTTTAAAATTTTTTTTTTTAAATTCGCGAGAAAATGATTCGATGGAAAATTTTTTAAATCGTTCATTATTATTATTATTATTATTATTATTATTATTATTATTATTATTATTATTAAATTTTAACGTTCGAGTTATTTTAGTTGGGGGAGGGGCGAGATGGGGGAGGGAAAGAAAATGGCGTCCCATCTGTTTTTGTTGTAGTGGTCGCCATTTTTTTTTTTCTCATGCACGATTTTAAGTAAAATCAAATTTTTTTTGTTTCACGTAAAAAAAAAAAAACACGAAAATATTATCGATCGTTTCGATCTGATCGTAATTATTATTATTATTGTTACTAAAAAATAATAATAATAATAATAATGATAATAATAATAATAATAATGATAATAATAATAAACCGCATTCCAAAAGTCTGTGACTGGCGCCGCAGAAATAAAATTTTTTTTTTGTAATTACTCATTAATTCCATTATTTCAATTTGGGTCAAGACTAAAATAATAATAATAATAATGATAATAATGGTGACGATGATAATGATAATAATAATTTTTTCTCGTTGTTTTCTGTCGTTTCGACTCCGATTGTTTCCCCCCCCCCCGTTTATTTGTTTGTTTGTTCGTTCGTTGGTTTATTAATTTTATTTTGTTCGTTTGTTTGTTTTTTATTCCAGCTGGATAAAATAATTATTATTATTATTATTAATACGGAATTAAAATTAATAAAAAAATTCACGAGGACAAATACAAAGGTGAAAAATTTGGAAAATGCTGGGGGGTGAGGCTGGAGCTCCTAGTTTTAGGATGCCAGAACAGAGCAACGATTATAGAGTCGTCGTTTTCGGAGCCGGAGGAGTCGGTAAAAGTTCTCTCGTTTTGAGATTCGTCAAAGGAACTTTTAAAGAATCCTACATACCGACAATCGAAGACACGTACAGACAGGTGAAGAGAGATTTCGATTAATCGATCGATCGATCGATGGATCGATCAATCGATTTTAATTCGATTATATATAATTTTTCCAGGTGATTTCGTGTAATAAAAACGTTTGCACACTTCAAATCACCGACACGACGGGTTCGCATCAATTTCCGGCAATGCAAAGGCTATCGATAAGCAAAGGTCACGCGTTCATATTGGTGTACAGCGTGACGTCGAGGCAAAGTTTGGAAGAACTTAAACCCATATGGGAAGTCATAAAGGAAATAAAAGGAAACGAATTGGCGAGCATACCCATAATGCTCGTGGGTGAGTGTGTCACATTAACTAAACGGAAACGGAAACAAAATAAGAAATTGTTAAAACCGGAAACGGGTACAACTCGTTAAAAAAAAAAAGAAAAATCTCACAACAATAATAATAATAATAATTTTTAATGAGTTTCTGATGAGGTTTATTCAAACGGATTTAAGGGGGAAGGAGAGGAGGAGAAGAAGGAGAAGATGAAGGGTAGTAAGATAAAGGGGTAGTATAGCTTTCGTAAAAATTACGAATGGTTTTATTATTATTATTGTAAGGAAAGAAGAGAAACATGGCGATTTTTCACTTGCAGGAAATAAATGCGACGAAATGGAAAATCGTGAAGTCGATTTATCCGTCGGCGAGGCCGAGGCACAAAGTTGGGGTTGTTCGTTCATGGAAACATCAGCGAAAACGAATCACAACGTCAACGAACTTTTCCAGCAGCTGTTAAACATGGAGAAAAATCGTAATATATCTCTACAATTCGATGGTAAAAAAATAAGATCCGATAAAATGATGGCGACGGGTAAAATAAAAGAAAAATGTTTAGTCATGTAGTTGTCACGGACGAACGGATGGACGGACGGATGGACGGGGGGGGGGAAGGTTAAAATGAAAATCAATCAATTATCGATCAATCAATCATCGAATTTTTCATTTTACTATTATTATTATTATTATTATTGTTTTGTCAACGAACAATGAAAGCGCTTTAAATAATAATAATAATAATAATAATAATAATAATAATATTGTGTTAAATAATTTCAACGATTATTGGGTGCCATTTTTTAAAAAAAAAAAAAAAAATTATATTTTATATTATATATATATAAAAAAAAAGGCTTTAAAATTTAAATAAATAGTTCAAGATCGGCCTTATTAATCAATAAATAAATAAATAATGAATCTTGATAATCGATGAAATTAATATAATATTTATTGTTTTTTGTTTTTTTCGTAAATTTTAAATACGTTGTCTTGTATATTTAAATTTTAATGTAAAGAAAGGAAAAAGATTATTTATTGTTGTGAGAAAATGGCGGCGCACGCAGTTTTTTAATTTTTTTGTTTTTTTTTTTTTCGGGAAAACTTTTAATTAACTTGATATGCCGGAGCAACGAAAAATCTATTTCAAACGACAATATTATTATTATTATTATTATTTATTATACATACATGTGAAGTAAGAAATTGTTTCAAAAATGTCATCGAAACGATTTTTTTCGATATTTATTCGATATATCGAAATATGAAATTTTTAGTGACGTCGTGTGCGTGTGGGTGTGTGTGTGTGTGTGTGTGTGTGATGAAAATGTCGATAAATTTAAACGTAACGGTTTTTTTTTTTATTTTAAATTGTTTAAATTTTTATGTTTATTATCATCATTATTATCATCATCATCATCATCATCATCATCATTATTATTATTATTTTAATTCAACGCGAGATTCCATGCTTGCACTTGTAGGAATTTTATTTCCAAAATTCTACCCGATTCCTTAGACTTCTCTAGGCTTAACCAGACTATTTTAGTTTTCTCCAGTTTTCTCCAGATTTTTCCAGATTTCTCCAGAATTTTCTCCAGACTTCTCCAGTTTTCTCCAGAATTTTTTAGGCTTCTCTAGCCATATCCAGGCTATCTAGTCTTCTCCAGTTTTCTCCAGACTTCTCCAGTATTCTCCAGAATTTTTTTCCAGACTTCTCCAGTATTCTCCAGAATTTTTTCCCAGACTTCTCCAGTATTATCCAGAGAAACTTTCCTAATATTCTAAACAGCCAGCAGGCTTTTTTCTAAACTTTTTCAATTTTATTTTCATTTACTTTTCCAGATTTTCTCCGTACTTTTCTTGTTATTATTATTATTATTATTGTCACTCTTAAACACGACAAGGCTCTTATTTGTCGGGGTATTTAAGCATTCATTCCAGGTCTCTACCTGAAATTTAAAAAAAAGAAAAAGAAAATTTTTGGGGGTAACGTTTTAATAAAGTTTAAAAGTACGTTCATGAATTTTTCTTTTTTCAATATTTTAAAATTATAATATTAATTTATTTATTTACTCTATGGATTTTGACTAACGGATTTTATAATATGAAATAAACGAATTCTCAGATAGAGAAAGGAGAAGAATTAAATATTTGTTTGTTTTTATTATTAATCGAAATTTATTAAGTAATAATAATAATAATGATGATGATGATGATGATGATGATGATGATAAATTTGAATTTTATAAATTAAAATTTTCATTTCATACAAAATTCATCATTAACAGAAAAAAAAAGGTTAAGACATGTTTTTTTTTTTTTTAAATTTTACTTTTTAATTTTTTTAATTTTAAATTTTAAATTTTTTTACAATTCGAGATTCGGTTCGATTAAATAAAAAGAAAAAAATTTATAAATTTTAATTAAATAAACTTTGGTATGTGTGTGCGTGTGCGTGTGCGTGTGTTAGTTAATATTAATTAATTATTATTATTATTATTATTAAAATTATTATGAAAACTTTATCGTATGCAAAACAAAAAGAAAAAAAAAATTCGTCTTCCATAAATTATTATATAAGTATATTTAAATATTTATTTCGTTGCAAAAAAAATTAACAACCGGAACCGGAAGTTCATGCGTGCGTGCGCGCGCAAGTTAATTTTATTTTTTTTTTTGTAAAATTTCTGTGCCATTTTCTCTTTATTATTATTATTATTATTATTATTATTATTATTAAGTAATTAATAACACGACGATTGCTTAATTAATTAATTAATTACGTCACTTTCATTTGTTTTTCTTTTTTTAAACGGCGACTTAAACGTAAAAAAAAAAAAGCGCACAAAAAACATTTAAAAAAAAAAATAAAAAATTTTATGTTTGTGTGAATTATAAATGTCGTCATCATCATCATCATCATCATCATCATCATCATCATCATCACGAACGACATTAATATTATTATTATTATTATCATCAAATAAACAAATACATATGCCTACAAGTGCATATCAGGTCAAATGGAAAATTTTACATGTAAAAAATCGTAGGTTATGTCGTAGTTACGTGCGTGCGTGCGTTCGCGCATGCGCGTACATATATTTTTTATATTAGGTACAAAAAGATTTTTAACTTAATTTTCTTTTATATTATTATTATTATTATTATTACGTGCAACGAACGTCATTCAATCAATCATTCATTCATTCATTCATTCATTCATTCATTCGTTAATTCGAAAAAAAAATGATGTTCGCTTAGTGCATATATAAATTATTTATTTATTTATTAATTTTTTAAAAAACGAACGAACGAACTAGTACAAAGTTTAATAATAATAATAATAATAATGATAATGATAATAATATTAAATTTTATAAATATTTATAATTTAAAAAAAATTATAATAATAATAATAATAATTTTAATGATGACATGTTAATAGTAGTTAGAAATGTAATGTAAAATAATAAAATGAATTAAATTGTAAAAAATTGTAAAGAAAGGCGGTGGAAAAAGGGGAAGGGAAAAGGGGAAAAAAAAAAAAAATTCGTCGCGAGCGCGTTCAGAAATTCTTTCGCGGATGCGCGCGAAAAAAAAATTTGAATTTTTAACACAAATCCGATTCCGTGCGGGTTGTTTGTGTTTCCCATAAACGGGTATAAATTTAAAAATTATTATTATTATCATTGTTACTATTATTATTATTATTATTATTATTATTATTATAATTTTTTTTTGTCATTATTAACACAATACGAATTGTAATAGTAGTAGTTGTTATCGTTTTTTAAATTTTGTAATCATTAATAAATATTGATAGAGGAGGGGGAGAAGGGAGGGGAGAGATGGGAGGAGAAGACGAAAATGTTTAAAAGGGAGGAACCGATGACGTAGGTAGGTGGTATTGTAACCAAAACGTTTTACATTTAGAAAAGGAAAAAAAATTTAGTAAAAGTCGTAAATAAAAAATAATATCCATTAAACAAACAAACAAAAAAAATAAATCGATTATTCGATAAACGTCAAATATATCGATAAATCGATAATTCTCGAATATATATCGTTATAATTATCTCATTTTATATAACACACGAAAAATTTTTTAATTGATATTTCTTGTTTTATCAATTTCGATAATGTTTTTCAAGGTTTATTATCATTATTATTATTATTATTATTATTATTATTATTATTATTATTATTATTATTATTATTCGATGGATGCGTGTTGGGAGTGCGTGAGTGCGTGTGTGTAGAACGGAGAGGAGGGAAAGGGAGAGGAGAGGAGGGGTTTTGAGAAAGAAAAAAAATTCTGGAGGATGTTTGAAAATTATTATTATTATGTTTTCAACTCAAGTCGTTTTGCAAAGCAGAAGAAATCAATTTGATTTTTTAAAAAAATGGAAAGGGAAAATGGAAGGAAATGTGTTGTTATTATTATTATTATCATTATTACAGGCTATCAATCGATATATAAATTGATAATTAATCGATCGATAAAAAAATTTAGGAATAAACGAAGTATAAACGTGACTTTAAACACGAGATTTCTATTTTTACTACCGTTTGTTTGTTTGTTTGTTGTTTGTTTGTTTCCTTGTTTTTACGTAATAACGTTTTTCGAATCGGGTTAAATTCATTTAAAAAAAAAAAAAAAAAGAAAACATTATCAATTTTTTTCTTTTAATTATTTATTAATTTTAAATTATTAATTATAATAATAATGATGATGATGATGATGATGATGATGATGATGATGATACGGTGGTAAATTAAATTTTAATCTCTCTCTCTCTTTCTCTTTCTCTCTCTCGGACAATTTAAAACATTTTTCGAAACAAAAATAAATAAATAAATAATTATTTAAATTTTATTTATTTATTTATTAATTTTTTAAATTTTTTGACGTCACGCATTTATAAATAAATAAATAAATCGGGGTTTTTTTTTAATTATTATTATTAATTTTTATTAAATTTCGTCATTATCGTGACGTAGTAATAAATAAAATAAAAAAATTAGCTTGACATATTATTATTATTATTAGCGAAAAATTTTTTTAATCATTATTATTATTATTATTATTATTATTAAATAAATAAATAAATTGTATTTTATTATTCTCTATCTCTCTCTTTCTCTTAATAAATAATTTATTTATGTATATATATATTGTTAATAAAAAAATTTTAATTATTAATTTTTTTTTTTTAAAATAGATATTTAATAGATTATATATATACATACATAATTAGTCGAGAAATATTTAATAATAATGATAATAATGATGATTTTAAATCGATTAATCGAAATCGCTTAATAATAATAATAATAATAATTAATTTTTTTTTCCGTTCGTTAAATTTATATAAATATATATATTAAATAATTATTTTTTATTTACGCGTTTACGTGTACGTGCGTGAGTGCGTAATAATGATAATAATAATAATAATGATAAATTTTGTGATTAACAAAAAAAAATTAATAATAATAATAATTAGATATTGTTTTATTGTATTTTTTTTTTTTTCGTTAGGGACCAATAAAAAATAATTTAT